CTGGCAACTATAAGCCTGCGTCAACTCAAAAAAATCCGTACGGAAGCTGTGGAAAGAAATTCACAACAATCTACTTCCATCGTCCAACACTATATCCAAGAAGGAACTCGAAAGTATTTTCATATTTATCCTTACACGAAAGTACCTATAGTGTTTATTTATCCACATCGGACACATCTGCTCCAACTACATTTACGTATCTTGAATCACGTGAACCAAGATTCACATCATCTCAGATGCATTCGATGTGGATAAACAAACGCAGCAACTATTTTTTCATCAAAAATTATTATCTACTTTATTTTTCAACTACATCGACTAGGTATTTTGCGATAGCGTATTAGTGCTACTTGAAAAATATTATAAAAAAAGTCAAATTTTTTAGAAAATAAAGTCAAAGTTTTGAGAAAAAAAGTTAAAATTATTATAAAATTAGGTCAACATTTAGAGAATGTAGCGTTGCTTAGTTTACTTTGTTATAAGTGACTAGTGGAGTATGACATGACCCGACAATGTCACGAACACGAAAAGAACGACGCACAACGGTTAATTATCACCATAACTACTTTATAATAAAAAACAATTATAAATTGTTTTGATTATATTTAGTAAGTAAATATAATACAGAGAAGAAAGTTGGAAAGTAAGAAAAAAAGAAAAGCAAAATGTAACCTATAAATAGATACTAAAGATCTAGTTGTTGTGACAGACTTTTGGTTTCACCTACACTAAATCAGGAAGTCTGTATGGCGCTAAGATGGTGAATACGGAATAAGGGCTGCTCGGGCGCCAGTTTTGGTAACACAGTTTGCTCTGCTACCCTGTAGTACACCAGAGTGTACTCAAGATAAACTCAGGCGGTCACTGCTAACGAGGTAGCTACTAAATTAAGATTAAAGACACTTATCTCCCTTAGACCTCGTACCCTACGGTACCCTGAAATAAAACGGTTAAAAGCCGGTAATAAAAGAAACACAGGGATTAATAACAAAATATATTTACAAAAAAGAAAATAATGACACCTCGGGCACGGTATCGGCACCACCTGTATACAGAAAATAAATTTTTAACAAATAAAATTTAATTAAATATAACAGTCGAGTAATACAGGAAAATCAAAAAGGGGTGCTACGCTATTAAACCAACTTAGACCTCTCGTAAGACAATCATACTAGTCTCAAATTGTTTCTAACATTATTATCTAGTTGTATACCGATTTTTATTGACAAATAGAAAATCACATTCATTTATTCTCAATTACTTATTGAAGTATTTATATTTCTTAGTAAAGTTATTTAAATGTTAAGAAAGTGGGTTATTTTGTGGAAAATTATGAACAAAACAACATTATTATTAGGTTTTATAATTATATTTTTATAAGTCAACCTGCCCTTCTTTGATAGGTATAAACTTTCGATAATAATATGTATTATTGATTTTAAAATCAAAAAAGGTTTATTTTCATTTGTTTTCTTTTCGCAACTGGTGACATAATTAATTTTTCGAAACCAGTTTCATAATACGTAGGAATCTACAAAACTTTTGAGATTTTGATACATGTATGCATTGGTTTAAATCACATATCAAAAATATTAGCTGCTTACTAAATAAAAAAAATACCTTTTTTATTTATTGGTTAAAAATATCACTCTGTATAGGAAATAAACGTAAATTAATAAAAGATTAATTATCAAATTTGTTATTAAGTGTTTGTTTATAATAAACATCAGAATTGCTTGCAACAAAGTAAACACCGTATTTGTTTTGTATATTATTTTTTACGAGTAAATAGTTACTGCATTTAACTTGAGTCTATTAAAAATACTTGTACGATAATAATTAATAACATATAGTGATTAAATAAATGATGAGCATTTATCTTATTCTTGTTAAAAACACTGTATTTAGCTGTAGAGGATTTTTTTGTGTATAAAAACCAATAAAATATTTTTTACTAAAAAGCACCCAAACAGCACACCAAATCCTTTGGATATCTTCTGTACATCCCAATATCCACTGAATGTCCAGTCCATGGTGGATATCTATTTTATATCCATGAGATGTAATTTATAGACATGCAAATGTCCATAAATAATAGTAATTATATAACAAATTATTAAAAAATTACGCCATTGTGCTCGCCATTGTGGCTAATAGTACCGTTCAGATATTTAAAATTAATTTTTTTAAGGTGTATTCCATATCCCATGGACATCCACTAAATATATCAAAGTCTAGGCGCGAACGCAAACCATGGTGTAATTTTTGATTTTGCCCACTAAGAAGAAAGTCATTCTTGGACCGGTTTCGTCCTTATTAGGACTAAAATTATTTCCTTTTTTAAGAATAGCCCGCCTGGTTTTTATTCCACCTAGTCTCTGAACTAGGTACTACAGCGACCTTTGCTTTTGCTTACTAAGTATAGATGGCGATACCACTTTCGCTCGTTGAATATCTACTCATGCTTAACCCGCCGTAATTGAGTTCGATCGAAATTGGCATCGCAATCAGGCTCCATTAGAGACTGGAGTCGAAAATTTCCATTTATTGCTGAAGAGTCCTAATAAGGATGACTTTCTCCTTAGTGGGCAAAATCAAAGGCAGAGTGTTTTAAGTGTTGAAAATATTTTTTATATCTGCTATTTTCTTTCGACATTGGTTACTTATGAACCTCTACTAAAGATACCCATAAAATATTTTGCTGAATATCCGAATATCTTCTATATCCTGCGATATAGACGGACATTTGGATATCCATATTAAATCCACTGAATATATTGGATATCCACAAAATATATTCTGTGGATATCTCTTTTCTTGTATTGTCTGGGAGATACCCATATTTTGCTGGATATCCATAGGATATCTTCTATATTCTGGATATAGACGGACATTTGGATATCTATATTAGATCCACGGGATATTTCTGATATCCTGTGAATATATTGGATATCCACAAAAGATATTCTGTGGATATCTCTGGGATTTGGTGTGTTGTCTGAGTTCTGACGTTTTTATATTGTTGTTGATACGTGGAAGTGTCGCTGATTGGGAAATATTGAACAAGGGCACCGGGATATAGAAGCATCGGGACGTAGAGCATCGGAACTTAAGAGCGTCAGAATGTAGAGCGGCGTCAGAATGTAGAGCGGCGTCGGACGTAGAATGTCGGATAGGAAAGATGACGTCGGAACAAAAAACGCCGGGACGTAGGAAGGTAGGGAAGTAGGCCGACGGTACCTTGAGCGTCGGGACGTGAAAACGTTCTGGAGATAGATCATCGGGACGTAGAACGTCGCATCGTAGGAGTGTCGTTAGAAAACGTCGGTTTAGGAAGGGTACTGAATACTTAACTTAAAATGTAACTAAATTTGAAAAGAAACTAAATTCGACTGAATTTAAAATAATAATGAATACCCAGTTCCTCGTGAACACGTATTTATATCCGTTTTAATGACTTTTTGTAACGTCAATTTGTCGTAACTAGCGGTGGAAACGGATGTGGGTGGATAAAAAAGGAGTGGTTGATTTATTACGTGCTTATACGACTGAATGTCCATTTTCGACTATCTTACTGACAGAACATACATTTATTCTAAGAGCTGGAAGTAAAACTACTTTGGAAACGTTTTTTTTTTTCATCTTTTATAGTGACGACAGCATTTCCAGTTCCAACACTTGCAATTGTTTGGATGTTTGAAACTGCAATTCGTAAATCCTCATTTTCTACAAAATCTAAAAGCCAGTCTCTTCCGGCTGTCATATGTGTAATACAACCAGAGTCGACTTATCATTATTCTTCTTCAGTACTTGTAGTAACATTAAGTTGCAAGTATGTAAGGCTTTGTCTTTGTTTTTATTATTTTTATCTGAAGTTACTTCTTCTCTCTTTTAGTTTTTTCTGCTTGGGACAACTGTATTTCATATGACGTGCTGGACCACATCCGTAATAACGATAGACGGTTTTTTTTAGTACAAAGCTATTTCGATGTTAGTTTATTTTTCTCAAAATTAACAATAACTTATACAGGGTATTAAGCATCCAACGACCTGTCCAAATTGCTTTGACATGCCTAATGAAGTATACAGGGTGTTTCCGAACTTGGCGTCCAAATTTGTACGGGTGGTAGTTCGCATAATTTGAGATCTATTGGCAGATCTCATTTTTCTAAAAAAATTATAATAAACAAAATAGAGCCGTTATAAAAAAATCAAAAAGTGGGTCCTACCCTGAGCGCGTAGCGCAATAGTTGCCTGATCGGTTACTCATCGGGATTTACAACTCAAAAACAGATGCGATTTGCAAATTTCTTCCTCCGCCCGGCCCATATCGAAAGACGTAGCCGATTGTTTTTCTAGTGTGTATTGCTCGAGGCGATCCCATCGCTGTGCAGGACCGTACCTGTTTAAAATTTTTAATTATTTTTATATTAAATATTTTGGAAAAATGAAATCTGCGAATCGGTCTCAAATTATGCGAACTACCACCCCTACAAATTTGGACGCCAAGTTCGGAAACACCCTGTATAGTTATATAGATTGCTCAAAGCGGGTCTCATTGCAAGTGGCCATTCATTAATCAGAATCGTTTCAGCAAAAATGTGTTTTATAACCAAATTTCACCCTTTGAATATAGCAAAAAAAATAATTACCCATATTTTTGCTTCAAGACATGAGCTGAGTTCATTTTGAAAAACTATTATAATAATAATAACTATATATCACTGACCCTATCAAATCCATCATGCCATGGCAACCATTTTGTATGGAATGCCTAATAACAAAAGCTAATCATTAGATTATATTGGATGAGTCACTCCACTACCTACCCTCTCTGAGGAAGAGTCCCGACATCCTACTTGATCTAAGTGGCATAAGATGGTTGACCACTTTTGTTGGGTTAATAATGAAACTTTGCCGATGTGTCTTCGTCCCGATGGAAACACATGGAAGTCATTTCTAATTTTAAATATTTTACTTAAATACTTTATTTGTTTCAGGTACGAAACGTCTTGGCTGGGCCAATCCCAACTAGCCCCCTACACGAGTTGCAATACGGGAGCCTATCCGCAACAAGGCTACCCTTCTCCCGCAGCCTTTAGCACTTGCAGCGTCCGGCAAGACCCAGCGACTAGGTATCCCTCTTACTGGCACCCCGATGGGGACTACTCTCCAGGTCCGCACGGGTCCCCTCCTACCGACCCTCAGTTACTGATGCAGTGGGGACTGTGACTGAAGGAGGAAATGTGATTTAAGTCCGGCGAACGCACCGGTGGTGTTGTGAAACGAAAACTGTGGGATAACAGGGATTTTGTACTATAAATATAATTTTTCTTTATGTGATGTCCGTGGTAAGGTGATCAAATTTATATTTTGATGGTGGTTATAATTCGATTGATGTACCTTTACGTGTTACATTTATATATTTGTATACAGGGTGGCCCACATATGACTATTAATTAATATCTCGAAAACAGGATCGTCAATTTATTAAGAATGGCTGAAATATTTAGTAAATATAAAGGAAACTGAACGGATTTCCAGAAAATTTTAAATAGTCCTGCTAGAGAGTCTACTTTAATCATTTATTTTTCGGCAGTATTCTATTAATAGAACGCGTCTTATACCTACTTAAGATTTTTTTTCGTAACCCATAATTAGTCGATGGGTCCCGAATCAGGAGATCTTGCCGACCGTTCGAGATCTATTTGTCCTCCACCCAGTTTACTTATATTTTAATAATACGTAATCAATTTTAAAAATTCCGTAAAATGTAGGATCTGAACGTTTACTATTTTGCCTTCGTACTATAAGTACTAATGGTTGATTTAGACACATTTTAGAAACATTAAATAAACCAAGAAACGTCATTAAATAAACAACACGTACTATCTACTTATAACAGGATGAACCTGTCAATTGTCAAACGTGCAAAGCTGGTTATAATGTCCAGTCTTCCGTCCGTCTTTTGATGCGACAACTTTTAGGGGCTTAGATATTTAAATTGCTCTCTTGGGGGAGGTTTAAATAATAAAAATATTATCTGCTAAGTAGATTATTGGGAAAAACTACCAAATTTTTATTTATATTATATTTTTAGGTATATATTTTGTATCTATCTCGGACAGTTGATTGGACAAATAAATAATAATTAGCCTTTGCATTTTGTTTATGTTTTGATTATAATAATAAAAATTATTTATTATATTTGATCACCTTATTTTTGTAATATTGTACAAATTTGGGAAGTGTAAATAAGGCTTTTTGTCACTGTGAAGTAGGTGTTTAGTACCTGTATATCGAAACATTAGATGATTGTTGGCCTCTTTATATGCTGCGAAAGTGGTAAAAATTTCCATGTTTACAAAACCGTACTTTTATTTTGACATATGTTTAACGAGTACCTAAAAAATGCTACAAGCGCCATCATCCTTATACATCTATATTAAATACCTGTTAAATTTATTTTAAATATTTTCCATTTCTTATATTTTACATAATCTTACCAGACATGCAATTCGAAATAGTGTTGTTCTTATATTTTAGTCTTTTTGTAATTTGATCTACAGGTAATAAAACTAAATAATCAAAAAACAAAAAGATCAGGCATTCTATACCATAATTTTGGAATTAAACTAAATTTGGTTATACCAGTGGCGCTTCTAGAAAGAAGCTTAAGGAAAAACGTAAATGTAAATTGAAATATTTTCTTACAACTTTCTGATTTTATAATAATAATGATTTCTAGAAGGTCACTGACGTATTCGTTCTAATAGATTTTTGAAAAGAGCATGTTCTATTTGTTTTGTTTAACTGTTTTCAATTTCAAACATTGTAATTAAATTAAAAATACATATATAGTTATTAATTTTTTAATTCCGTCCGTTTTTAAGCATTATTTGGACAACGGTCCGACTATATATTTCTGTATTTATGTATTTTAAACTTGTATAGTAAATGTACTGTTTATGTGAAAATATCTATTTTATTTCCTTTTCCTTATTTCCAATTTGTAGGGTTCCAATAAAAAAAAAAAAAAAAAATATCTGAACCTATATTTGTTTTTTCAAGATTTGTAACATATTACCTAATTTGAGGTGATTATTATATTTGTTACAAATACATATAAATAAAACAACTATTTCACCACTGGTATCAGAATTTATTACAGATTCAGATTCAATATTGTTATCACAAATAGCTGAATTTTCAATATGAAATATTTTTATCTGATTCAAATGGCGTTTCCATGACACGTTTAATTCAGGTATCGTTACAATATAAGTAGCTCTTCCAATTTTTTTAGAAATAACACCTTTGATCCATGTGTTTACATTCGGTTTACGATAATCGCGCACAGTAACACTTTCACCTGGTTCAAAACACAAAAATCGTTTTCCACCATGATCAAATTTTTGTTTATCTTGACATTTTATAACACGTTCTTTCAATTTTTTATTTGAATTGGGTAAGAGATCATCAAAACGGGTTCTTAAATGACGACCCATCAGCAATTTAGCAGGTGTTTCTTGGGTGGTACTATGAGGTGTAGAGCGATAATCAAACAAAAAATTATTTAAAATGATATTGATGTTTGAAGTATGAGATTTGCCTAGTGCATTTTTTAATGCATTCTTGATTGTTTTTACCGCGGTCTCGGCCGCGCCATTAGACGAAGGATTATATGGGGGAATCGTAATATGGGTTATGTTATTTTTTGTAAGGAACTCCTCAAATTCAGAAGGACAAAATGATGTTCCATTATCAGTACAAATTTGTTTAGGTAATCCAAATCGTGCAAAACAAGACCTTAAAATATCAATTGTTAAAGTTGAAGTTATTGAATTCATTGGAAAAACCTCTATCCATTTACTATGGGCATCCAAAATAATTAAATACTGTTTATTGAGATATGGGCCCATAAAATCGAGATGAAGTCTATGCCAAGGTACTATAGGAGTTCCCAATTCCGAATAATCTACCGGTTCAGTTACTCCAAGGTTACATAACCGCTCTAACTCATTTTCGACCCTTTCTCTCATGGCAAACGGCAGAGGACGTGCACGGAAAAATTTAGGAGTGACTTGTATATCTGATTTTAATTTAATTGATATTACACGTTTATTAAAAGTTCCTAAAGCAAATAAATTAGAAAATTTGTTTACTAAAAACTATAAATCTTTAGGCATGTCTAAAAAATTTAAATTAGTGATACCCAATTCAAATAAATTGAAAAAATCGCGTCCTAATAAAGGCGGTCCTCCATTTTGGATCACAAAAAAATTTATATTTTCAATTTTATCTTTAAAATTTACTAAACAACAAATATAACCTAATGGTTTAATTTTATCCCCATTATATATAGATTAAATATTTTATTAGTAAGATATAAACTTTTATTTTTGAAATTTTCGTAATAAAAATATTCTGAAATCACACTATAACTAGCGCCGGTGTCTAAATTTAAAGTAAACATTTTATCTTCGATAAATAAATCTAACGAAACTGGATTAGTATTATATTCAATGGTATATAAGGCGTAGTCATCTGACTCTAAATAATTATTTTTAATTTTATTTTGGTTAGATTTATTTACGTTTTTATTTGAACACATCGGTGCTAAATGACCTTGCTTACCGCAATTATGGCAGTAACATTCTCGGAAAGAACACCTATCAGTGTTATGATTATTGCGACCACACACTGCGCATTTTGGTTGTGACGTAGATGGCTTTGAAAAAGCTCCTGCTGGCTTGAAGCGGGAACTAGAGGCTTGCGCATGAGCCTTAGCCTGGTGAACCTGCGTGGATTTCCTGTAGTTGGAATTTGCGCCTGAGTAATGAATTTCTGGTTCTTTCTTGATCATTGTCGAGCAATATGGCTGAACTGAAGATTTTGAAGCTGCTATTTTCACAAATTTAACATCTTTTTTCTCCTCGAAAAGTCTGTCTTTAATTGCACCTTTTTCGTAACCGATAATGAAACGATCCACTAAAGCACGTTCAATTTCGGTACCGGCAAAATCGCACTTTGCTACTAAATGTCTTAAACGAGCCGCCCACTCTTTTGCCGATTCATTAATTATTTTACGAACTTCGTAAAATTTTTCACGATTCGCAAAAACTGGCACTGTAGATTTAAAATGTTCATCTAATAATTTAATTATTGATTTATAGTCTATTTCTTCGGGTTGATCCGGTATGCACATATCATGCAAGAGTTTATAAGCATCTTCATTTAAAAGACAACAAAATGGCTCTTTTTCGAACTTCAAGCGTGAATTTGCCAAAAAATAATTTTCTAGACGTTTTTTGTATATTGACCAATCCGCACTTCCGGGAATAAATTCTTGCACGGGGCCGGTATACTGTACCTGGTCCGGCATTTTATTTGATTTTAATTTAAAAAATCAACAAAAAATAATTTGAAAACTGAATTTACACTTTTCAACTCACTGTTAACTAAACACTCGTCGCCAATTGTAACATATTACCTAATTTGAGGTGATTATTATATTTGTTACAAATACATATAAATAAAACAACTATTTCAGTACCGTAGTTTATTCATGACTGTGTCTACAAATCACACCAATATCGTTCCCATAGGTAAAACCACTTTTTATAAATACTTCAATTGGAAAATAAAACAATAAATTAAATCTAATATACAAAGTGATGCACACCAATTACCGGTACATCACATGATTCAAAACATCAATGGCGTTATTATTAGTAGCCGAGATATATAATATGAAAAAGAGTAATGAACAATTACTTTTATGTAATGGAGGAGTACCTAAGTATGGATTTAAAACATATACCGTATCCTTATTTGGTGAACACTATTCGGAAGAAACAGTGGCGTAGCGTGCCGTCGATACAAGGGGATGTAATCAGTAACTGCGATTCACATTTTATAAAAACAATAAAGTTTTCATTTTGGACTTACAAATAAAGTATACAAAAAATATGGCAGGTTATAAAATAATCAAAATATTAAAAAAAGTGCGGACTAAATTAAAGTAGGACAGTTTACATTTTCATTAAATGAAGGAGAAGAACGTGATTACGACACTCGCATTCGCGTATTAATATACGACGTACGAGATGCGTTTAAAAGACCGCATCATTCACCAACGAAAACGGCGAACTGGAAACTTCAAACGCTAAATCACGACCGCAAAGGTCGCTGACCTCGGCTCGCTCCACCAGGCATTCAAGATGTAATAA